CCAATAAAACAAAAAAGAAGAAGAAGAAGAGTGAGGGAGAGACTGACAGAGCATAACAAACACAACAATTTAACAAAGTAAAATACACATCAAAAACACTTTTTATATAATACGTCCCCAGGACGTAACAAAGAGCAACACAAAAGCACACTCACACATTCAGTCAGCATAAGGACTCACCTACGTACCTGTATGGTCTTACCTCTGTGATCATTAATATTTTTATGCTCCATGACCATGGTCATCTATCTCAAGTTCTAAACCTGTTCATCATTCCCATCTCTATTGATCATCTACCCGTCTCTCTTATTTTCTGTCTGATTATTCTGGCTTCATTCAATTGTTTTTCAGATATGATAGGAATGACCGACTGACACTGTCACATTGCAAACAATGACGGTCAACACAACATAAGGCGGATGAGATGGAAACAGTGGGTGCAGCTGATCCGCATCTCCTGAGTTCATTTCCTGAGTTTTCCACAGAAACACAAAAGAGGGACCGAAAGGATGATTGCCACTTTAAGGCAAAAATAAAGTCAAAAAGTAAAAATACCTCAAGGTAAGTCAAGAGTTCTCAGAGTTGTGTTTCTTGGCAGGGAGCAGCAGTTTATTCACCTTTTTTGTATTTTTGTTGTTTAAGCTGCTGATAAACTTTTTGTTTTTAAGGAAAATTAAAATAAGCTGTGTTTTAAGTTTATTTTTTTCTTTACTTGAAGCAAATATTAGTAAACATAGTCAAGATAATGTTTTATTTGCAAGAACTGTAACTGGAGTATGTTTAAAGTCTACTTCAGCATTCTCAGATGACAAAAGGAGTCTTGACTATATTGAAGTAAATTTGAGATTAATAAGAATACCTGCTGCGCATGTCTGATTATTTCACCTATAGTTACTGTAGACCTCTTTTACTGTACATCTGATGACATCTAGAACACATCCGTGCGGAAACGGAAAAGTTTACAATACTTTCTGTTTAAAAAAAAAGTATTTCTCCCTAATTAGATATATTAGTGTGTTATATATTATAATACACTATTAATTATATAAGGCATCATGATGAACGTCTCGGTTACATATGGTAACCCTCGTTCCCTGAGGGAGGGAACGGAGACGTAGGTCATGACTGACCAATAGGAATCTCGCTAGAGAGGCCAATCTACTTCGAGTGAAACTAAAACAAGCCAATGCACATTGGCGTGCAATCATTTGCATCAGCTGCGCGTCCTCGTCAGCGCGGGTATTTAACAGCAGCTGTTGTGATTGCACACTAGGTTTTTGCTGAGGAGCCAAGCCTGAAAAAGCTGGCCGCCCCAGCGGGCGGCAGCAAATGTGGCGACGGGACCTACGTCTCCGTTCCCTCCCTCAGGAAACTTAGCCCAAGGGAAAGACACGGGCTTCCGTCTTAGGAGCAGCCGTGGAGAATATACACATATGGGATTCCCGTAGGGTCACACATATGGAACCCAGCCCAGATCCGGCTCTCAAGGATTCAGCGGATAAAGGCCTGGCACCGGACGCTCCGCCATGTCCGGGCCGAGGGGTTTTGGAGGACTCGACAGGTTTTTCACTCTGGAGCAATAAGGGTGCACAGTAGGGTGCAGCAAGCCGACAGAGCCGGGCCTCTCGGTGCTTCTACCCGTTTAGGGTGAGAACACGGGAGGAGACCGGCTCTACACGTAGGCTATAATATCTAGCGAACATGTTAGGTTTCGCCCAGCTTGAAGCTCTACAGATATCTGTTAGCGAGGAGCCACGTGCCAGCGCCCAGGAGGATGCAACGCCTCTCGTGGAGTGTGCAGGGCGCGCCTTGTGCTTGGTAAGCCAAGGCGATGGCATCCACTATCCAGTGGGCCATCCTCTGCTTGGAGACAGCCTTTCCCCTCTGCTGGCCTCCGTAACAGACAAAGAGCTGGTCTGAGGTCCTGACGCTTTGAGTTCTGTCCACGTACATACGCAGAGACCGTGCAAGCGGGACCAAAGGGACCGCAGGCGTACCAGGAGTGGGGCAGCGAGGTGGAACACAGGGACGCGGCTCGGGAGGCTCTCTCTGGGAGGCGGCCCGTAGCGGGGTCTGTGTGTGCTGTGCAGCACTTACCTGGTTCCACGGGGCAGGAGGTGCAGGAGGCGGCTCGCTGGTGTTCTCGAACTGCACACTGCTGCTCACTGGCGACAGAGGAGGCGGATGAGAGTGGTGAGGATTCTGTCCCCCCACTGCTCTCCGGGTCCTCTTCGGACCCAGAGATGGTAGAAACTGCTCTTTTATTGAAAATTTGGGAACCCCTGGTTTTAAGGCCAGCGGCGGAACACAAACAGAACGAAACAAAAGATTTTCCACCCGGCCCTCTTCCGGGGGAGGGAGCGATGCGGTCATCGTCTCCTGGAGAGCAGTCCCTTCTCATAACAGCTTTTTTGAATTTGCTCAAACACAAAAAGACAAAGACAGAAGAGAGAGAACAAAGACTGCTCGCGCTGCCATGCTGTAATGCCCGCACCGGATAAGGAGAGATCCAACGAAGGCTTGTAGAGTCACACTCTGTAGATTAAGCATGAAGCGTTTGGCTCCGAAGCAACAAGCTAGTGTGCAATCACAACAGCTGCTCGTTAAATACCCGCGCTTCGAGGCTCACAGCTGATGCAAATGATTGCACGCCAATGTGCATTGGCTTGTTTTAGTTTCAACCGAAGTAGATTGGCCTCTCTAGCGAGATTCCTATCGGTCAGTCATGACCAACGTTGTAGTGACTGACCGATAGGGAACAGGTATGTTTAATGATTTCTGAATGAAACAGTCTTCAGACAAACACATGGGCCTGTAACGATGAGGCTGAGGCGGCGTTAGAAATCCATTTGTGGATGTTTATTAGCAGCAGGTTTTAGAGACAGAAACGTTTAGCCAGGCAATAGGTCAAAACCACAATAGCAGTCCAATCTAGCGACATACACAAGGGTAATCCAAAAGGCAGAGGTGAGCAAACAGGCAAGAGGTCCAAACACAGTCATCAGTCCAAAATAGGCTACCAAAACAGAGGGGTAATCCAACAGACTTTCAGAAAATCAGGCAGAAAACAATGGAAACGCTCAGTAAGGCAGATTAACTGGCAATACTTCGCCAAGGGCAAACACACATAGCTGCGTCCCAATGTGCATACTATCCATCCTAAATAGTATGTGACATTAGTAATTTTCAATACTATTTAGGGCGTAGTATGCACATTGGGACGCAGCTAATCTCTTCTTAAATACTGTACAAACAGGAAATGCAAGTAGAAGCAGAGGGAACGGTACACAGACAATACTCAGGCGAGGGCTCCCTCTGCTGGCGTGGCGTTACAGGGCCTGAAGGCCTGATCCTGTTTCCGTGCTCATATTTGCATTTGGCCTGGTTTGTTTATTTTACTTTATTTAAATTAATAGGACATTTTTTATGTTATTAATAGATTGAAGGTGCATTCAGTAGTTCTTCAGCTAGAATTAGCATTTTAAGAACCATAAAAACAATTGTGTTTGACGCTGCACTGCAGGCTATCAATGCGAATCAGCATTATTGAGTTGTATGTAAATTACACTGATTGTGTATTTTAGAGAGCGATTTAAACAATAGCTAAATTTAATGGGGTAAATTCACCCAAAAAGGAAAATTACCCCATGATTTACTCACCCTCAAGAGTGGAGACATCATTGCTTTCGCTCTGGGTTTGCATTGTGTTACCTGTAATACTTTGATCATATCTCTCTTTAGAAAAATAATCAAAGCTGCCTTATTTCCTTCTTTCATGACTGAAGGAAACAAATGGCATAAACATAACATGCAAGTTTGAGTTTTCATTTATATAACTTTTCTGACATTTTTTTTATTGTTGATTATTAGCTGAATTATCAAAGCTTTGACAAGTTTTGTACTGTCATATTCTTGCCATTTGCACTGCATTATACTTATAACAGAATGTAATGGATAACATAATACGATTTGACACTCTAATACAGGCGTCTTTACCACAAGTGTTCCTTCATCATGATGTGTTTACTGTTGTTAAATCTATTTTGGATTTTGGATACATCTTTATGGATTATTTGATCTTTCTTAAGATTAAAATTGCACTTCATATAGCTATTCCTTGTGTGTTTGTGGACTTTTATGTTATTTCCTGTCGTGTGTTTTGCTTTGTAGTTCTTTGTAGTTCTTCATATTGATTAGTTCCCCAGGTGTTTCATGACAATATCATTTACAAAAATTTGATTTATTCATTCCTAATTACTAATCAGTGAAATTAATCTTTTGTGTGCTCATACAGTGAGCACAAGACATCATATCTGCAATAATTAAATCGAATATGATCTATAGTTATGACTCAATGAAGTCTCAAATCTGTTATCTCATCTACAGAATATGATGTTGAAATTTATATTTTATATTAAATTTGGTGTTGGTCCTTTTTTCATCAAAGCCATTCAGACACTTAATGCAAATCATAACCTTTCTTTTCAACTGAAAATGATTTTTTTTTTATTGTGCATCAGACTTATACATTAAATAAGCTCAGTCACTAGCTCTTCCTCTGTGTGAACTGAAGTCTCTGAGAATGACACTAGATTCATGTGAAGCTGCTTTAACTGTTAAACATTCACAGCAATATAAACTTATCAAGTGTGAAGGTGCTTTACATGATGTCTATTGCTCTGATATGAAATGTGTAGATCTAGATATATGAAGTACAGAAGCGTTACAATGTACGGGTACGGCAATGCTGCTGTCTCCACTTGAGGTTAAGAAAACTGTGAGAATTGAGATACATAAACGTATAAAGGTATCGACACTTGGTTCAGTCAAACATCCACTCTAGACAAAGGTGAGAGAACCAACCAGTGGAACATATTTGTGGTTTTGGTTTAGAACCTCAGCTGAGTTTCTCCACTTTGCAGCCGGTGGCCCTTTTTCTAATTTCTAAATAATTTTTATTTTAGTAAAAAATGTGACAACTAGCACCAGTCTCCAGCGTCTGATATTACACTGTAAAATTATTTATTCTTGACATAAAGTATAATAAGCACATGATATTTTAAGAACATGTTATATAATCAAACACAGATGCTGTTGCTTAATATCATCCACCTCCGTGTGAACTGAAAGAGCAACAAAGAAAAAAATATTTACATTAAGCTTTTTTATTAAAATTAACAGTAATCAAAACAAGAGGCTCTATGATTTCTTCAAATAAGAGCTCAGCAAGAATTCTTAACAATTTTCGAAACTTACAATAATTAATTTTACTAAAACTATTGATAATGGTTTCACATATTTTACCTTATTGTGATGTTAGTCGGTTTGGGTTATGAGGCTGATATATAACTCGTGTCTGAACATCAGGATCATATTTTTCCAACCGTTCTGTTTTTCCAACAGCAAAAACTAAAAATGAGAAAATGAATTCAGATTTAATATTTACTCAAGGGAAGATTATTTTTTAAATGGTAAAGATATATACTGTATATGAAGACACCTAATAACCAAAAAAAAAAAAAAAGAAAGTAATGAAAACCTTGACATGCCTAAGAAGAGTGCGTCAATTGATATTTTAAGACTAAAGTATATCTCATTTGCTTATTATGTTTTTAATTAAAGAATAACTCACCAATCAGCACAATGAGCAGAAGCCCGTTCATCAGTCCAGATATGATGATAATAATCTGCCATTGTTTCTGATTCTGATCAATAAACTCCACCGCTGTCTGATTGTGACACTCAGTTAGTTGAGTTGATTCTAAGAAAGTGTTCAGAGTTTCAGTAATAACCGACTGACTTTAATATTTATATAATTTTCATATCTGTGTGTGCAAAATTATGTAGTTCATGAGAGTATAAAAAAATGCTGAAGTATCACATAACAAATGTAATTATTCACACTAATCATCAATATGTTCTGATCAATAGAGGAGTAAATGAACTCACCGGTGAAGTGCAGTCTGGTGCTGTTGCTGAGTTTTGGAGGAGTGTCTGTGTTCATACAGTAATAAACTCCTAATTCATCAGCAGTCACATTATTAATAACCAAACGGTGTTTAAATTGCAGTGAATATTTCTTTCTGAATGTTTTATTTGTGTAAAAAGGTGATATTGGTGTTGGGAATGACCGTAGAATCACTCTTGGAGGATCTGGTGTTTTCAGTAAAATCCAATAAACCTCATTTTCATCAAGATCACAGTTTATGGTCACATTTGATCCCAAATCAGTGAGTTGATCTGATACTGCAGCTCGACAACAGATTAATACATCTATAAGATACAAATAAATAAATAAACATGCATTAAAATTCAGTATTACCCAATTAAAACCGTGAAATATAAAACAATGTATGATTTATAATAAAAAATTTAGTTTAAGTTTGCAAAGTGCATGTAAATATTGTTATATAAAACTCACAGAGCTGAATCTGAATGATCTTCATGTTGTCGAGATTAAAACACTTCAGAATGATTCTACTTCCCTCTACACAACATTAAGATGAATCTACTGCAGCTCTGAAGAAAAGACAGGAAGACAAAAAACCTTCCACATCGAGCGGAGGAAGTCAAAAACTCTGACCACAACATCTAATGCCCTTATTTCCATCAACACTATTAATAAAAAACATTTTGTGCTTTGATAACCACTGTTTTCTTTAGGTATTTGAGCTTGTTTGATCTTGAACACATGAGCTTGACGTGTGTTTCGTTAAAGGTGTATTCAGTAGTTCGCTTCTAATTTAAATCAAAATAAATAGTGAGGAGTCATCTGACATAAGATGAAGACTGTAAACGTAGTTTTCTATAAAAAGTGTTTTAATTACATATTATGCAGGTCACCCTCATAATAGATTTTGCCATGTTGAAATGATGTGAACCGCTGTGTTTTACTATTCACCGGAGTCTGAATTGATGACATATTTTATAGACCAACCCAGAAGTTCGCATCACACTGGTTCCCTCGACAAAAAGCCAATAGGATTTCCCATTGTCTTATTGCAGAAAAATAAGCTCTGTGACCAATAAAGGTTTATGATTATCATGATAATTACATCTTTTTGTCAGAAAGTATTATCTGTAATAGGGAGCAAATATGGGAATTTTACCGCAGTGAATAAGACAATGTTCTACTATCTTTAAAAAAGTGGCTTATAACGAATCAGTTGTGTAAACATTTTTCTTAGAAATTTTAATAATGTGTCTAATGATCTGACTCTTTGTATCGTTGAGTGTAGTATTTGTTGTTGTGTGTACCTGCCTAGGGACTGCGGATGTAAATGAGTAATGTTGCTATAATCCGGCTTGTTTACATTTTGTATTTCATACTTAATGTTCATTAACATGCTTTGTCCCTATCAAATAAATAAACAAACAAATGAACACAACTTTTATGAAATTTGAAACCTAAATAAAATCACCAGAAGTAAATACTAAATAGCTAAAGTTAGGCTACAAACAAACTACTTTAACATCACCCACATCAGGATTCCTACAAAAATACATAATCTCTGCAACACTTTATTGGCTGCCGCCTCTGTAGATTAGAGAATTGTTGTTTGGTGATGTGGTGAGCAAATTACTTCTTAAGATAATTATTGTGTAGACTGTTCTTTAAATTTCACCAGTATCAGTGTAGTTTAGATAAAACTTTGTTTAACACCATCATATCAGTAACTAATGAACATGAGAGTCAGTGAAACAGGCAGAGAATCATTTACAAAAACATATATATAAATTATAATATAATACAAGTAAAACCAACCAGAATTACTGGTGTGTAAAAATGGTTGATTAATGTATGACGTTTTTAATTTGAAGTGTTTTATAAAATCTGAATCCAATAAGTGAATGATCAGACGGTTGAAGTTCACTGGTAATGTTTCAGTCTGAATGCAGCTGTATGGATCTGTTGCCTTTGTCACAGTGCAATAATGTTATTGTTTTTCTTCACCTTTTCTTGCAGAATCAACAGAGAGTGGAGACATCATTGCTTTCGCTCTGGGTTTGCATTGTGTTACCTGTAATACCTTGATCATATCTCTCTTTAGAAAAATAATTAAAGCCGCCGTATTTCCTTCTTTCATGACTGAAGGAAACAAATGACATAAACATAACATGCAAGTTTGAGTTTTCATTTATATAACTTTTCTGACATTTTTTTTATTGTTGATTATTAGCTGAATTATCAAAGCTTTGACAAGTTTTGTACTGTCATATTCTTGCCATTTGCACTGCATTATACTTATAACAGAATGTAATGGATAACATAATAAGATTTGACACTCTAATGCAGGCGTCTTTACCACAAGTGTTCCTTCATCATGATGTGTTTACTGTTGTTAAATCTATTTTGGATTTTGGATACATCTTTATGGATTATTTGATCTTTCTTAAGATTAAAATTGCACTTCATATAGCTATTCCTTGTGTGTTTGTGGACTTTTATGTTATTTCCTGTCGTGTGTTTTGCTTTGTAGTTCTTTGTAGTTCTTCATATTGATTAGTTCCCCAGGTGTTTCATGACAATATCATTTACAAAAATTTGATTTATTCATTCCTAATTACTAATCAGTGAAATTAATATTTTGTGTGCTCATACAGTGAGCACAAGACATCATATCTGCAATAATTAAATCGAATATGATCTATAGTTATGACTCAATGAAGTCTCAAATCTGTTATCTCATCTACAGAATATGATGTTGAAATTTATATTTTATATTAAATTTGGTGTTGGTCCTTTTTTCATCAAAGCCATTCAGACACTTAAACAAATCATTACCTTTCTTTTAAACTGAATTTTTTTTTTTTTTATTGTGCATCAGACTTATACATTAAATAAGCTCAGTCACTAGCTCTTCCTCTGTGTGAACTGAAGTCTCTGAGAATGACACTAGATTAATGTGAAGCTGCTTTAACTGTTAAACATTCACAGCAATATAAACTTATCAAGTGTGAAGGTGCTTTACATGATGTCTAATGCTCTGATATGAAATGTGTAGATCTAGATATATGAAGTACAGAAGCGTTACAATGTACGGGTGCGGCAATGCTGCTGTCTCCACTTGAGGTTAAGAAAACTGTGAGAATTGAGATACATAAACGTATAAAGGTATCGACACTTGGTTCAGTCAAACATCCACTCTAGACAAAGGTGAGAGAACCAACCAGTGGAACAAATTTGTGGTTTTAGTTTAGAACCTCAGCTGAGTTTCTCCACTCTGCAGCCGGTGGCCCTTTTTTTGCGCTGAATACAATGATAACAAATATATTTCCATATAACATATAAATGTAAAAAAAAAAAAAAGTATATATATATATCAGATTCTTACTTTTATTTTATTCATGAGAATATTTTTAGATTACAAAAAATAATTCATCTAAGTAAGAAAATATTACACTTTTGACAATAACCATAAATATTATTATTAATTAGCCTTAGTAATCTACCTCTAGTTAACCATGCAGAGAAACCCAGGACAGAAAAGGTTTGTAATTGTACTTTGTCAAGTTCAAGTGGAAATGTATCTTGCCAAAAAAACACACAAAGACTTAAATTACAATAACTTACACTTCAAGATGTATTAATAACTAAAGGACCATGTTTAACCTTTTTCCAAACCAATAAATGTTCAAAAGTTTTTTTTGCAGTCAAAAAGACGTAATATATTTCTAAATAATTTTTATTTTAGTAAAATTTTTTACAATTATCACCAGTCTCCATATTAAAATAATTTATTCTTGACATTAAGTATAGTAAGCACATGATATTTTAAGAACATGTTATATAATCAAACACAGATGCTGTTGCTTAATATCATCCACCTCCGTGAACTGAAAAAGCAACAAAAAAACAATATTTACATTAAGCTTTTTATTAATATTAACAATAATCAAAACAAGAGGCTCTATGATTTCTTCAAATAACAGCTCAGCAAGAATTCTTAACAATTATCAAAACTTACAGTAATTAATTTTACTAAAACTATTAATAATGGTTTCACATATTTTACCTTATTGTGATGTTAGTCGGTTTGCGTTATGAGGCTGATATATAACTCGTGTCTGAAGTAGATCAGGATCATATTTTTCCAACCGTTCTGTTTTTCCAACAGCAAAAACTAAAAATGAGAAAATGAATTCAGATTTAATATTTACTCAAGGGAAGATTATTCTGTTTTAAAGATATATACTGTAAATGAAGACACCCAATAACCAAAATAGTAAAAAAACAAACAAAAAAACAAGTAATGAAAACCTTCACATGCCCGAGAAGAGTGTCATATTGATATTTTAAGACTACATATCTCATTTGCTTATTATGTTTTTAATTAAAGAATAACTCACCAATCAGCCCAATGAGCAGAAGCCCATTCATCAGTCCAGATATGATGATAATAATCTGCCATTGTTTCTGATTCTGATCAATAAACTCCACCGCTGTCTGATTGTGACATTCGGTTAGTTGAGTTGATTCTGTAATGAAAGTGTTGTTGGAAATTTTTAGAAATATTAATAATGTGTTTGGGGTATTTGACTCTTTGTATTGTTGAGTGTAGTATTTGTTGTTGTGTGTGTACCTGCCTAGGGATTGCGGATGTGAATTAGTAATGTTGCTATAATCGGGCTTGTTTACATTTTGTATTTCATACTAATGTTCATTAACATGCTTTGTCCCTATCAAATAAATAAACAAACAAATGAACACAACTTTTATGAAATTTGAAACCTAAATAGTAATTTACTAAATAGTCAACATCATTGCAAAATGATGTTGTTCATGAGTGTGTAAAAATCCTTAAGTAGTACATAACAAATGTAATTATTCACACTACTCATCAATATGCTCTGATCAATAGAGGAGTTAATGAACTCACCGGTGAAGTGCAGTCTGGTGCTGTTGCTGAGTTTTGGAGGTGTGCGTGTGTTCATACAGTAATAAACTCCTAATTCATCAGCGGTCACATTATTAATAACCAGACGGTGTTTAAATTTCAGTGAATATTTCTTTCTGAATGTTTTATTTGAGTAAAAAGGTGATATTGGTGTTGAGAATGACCGTAGAATCACTGTTGGAGGATCTGGTGTTTTCAGTAAAATCCAATAAACCTCATTTTCATCAAGATCACAGTTTATGGTCACATTTGATCCCAAATCAGTGAGTTGATCTGATACTGCAGCTCGACAACAGATTAACACATCTATAAGATACAAATAAATAGACATGCATTATAATTCAGTATTACCCAATTAAAACCACCCTGAAATATAAAACAATGTATGATTTTTGATAAAACAATTTAGTTTAAGTTTGTA